GCTGGGATTACAGGCTTGAGCCACCGCGCCCGGCCTTATAAATATTAAGAATATATATTTTTGGCCGGGCGCGGTGGCTCACGCCTGTAATCCCAGCACTTTGGGAGGCCGAGGCGGGTGGATCACAAGATCAGGAGTTCAAGACCAGCCTGGCCAAAATGTTGAAACCCCATCTCTACTAAAAATACAAAAATTAGCTGGGCGCGGTGGCGCATGCCTGTAATCCCAGCTACTCAGGAGGCTGGGACAGGAGAATTGTTTGAACCTGGGAGGCGGAGGTTGCAGTGAGCCGAGATCGTGCCATTGCACTCTAGCCTGGGTGACAGAGTGAGACTCCGTCTCAAAAAAAAAAAAAGAATATATATTTTTCTCTTCATTGATGTGACAGTACATATTTTTTGCAAAGCGTTATACACTTTAGGGTCACTGTGGAAAAATACTTCCTCCTTTAGGCTTACACGTTTGTCCCGTCAGTGTTTTGTCGTGATACTGGAAATAGGCTTCAGTAGACATGGCTTGAAGTCCATGTAATCACCCTTTATTTATTGAAGAGTCTCACTTGTTTTGTGTTCCTCTTTGTGTGTCATATTTATACATTTTAGTATTATTTACCATTTGTATTTAATTGGAAACCTATTTGTGTTTATATTTTGTAGATATCTCTCCCAAATACAAGATGAAGGAGCTCTTGTCAACAGCACAAGGCGATACAGAAGTGTTCCACGCAGGGATATTAGATAGACATGAAAGTCATCACATTGGAGATTTTTGCTTCCAGGAAATTGCGAAAGATATTCATGATTTTGAGGTTAGAAATAGCCATGAGGCACTCATGAGAAAAATTGAAAAGTTTCCTTGTGGTACAGACCAATGTGATCAAAGGCATGCTGGCAACAAGCCTATTAAAGATCAACTTGGATTAAGCTTTCATTCGCATTTGCCTGAACTGCACATATTTCAGATGGAAGGGAAATTTGGCAATCAAGTTGAGAAATCTATCAATGATGTCTTCTCAGTTTCAACATCCAAAATAATTTCTTGTAAGCCCCAAACCCATATTTCTAATAACTATGACAACAATTTCCTCCATTCTTCATTACTCACACAAAAACAGGAGGGTCACAGAGAAGTATCTTTCCAATGTAATGAGAAAAAAGCCTTTAACTCTAGCTCTTTCTTGAGGAAACATCAGAAAATCCATTTAGAAGAGAAACAATATGAATGTGATGTATGTGGCAAGGTCTTTAATCAGAAGCGATACCTTGCATGCCATCACAGATGTCACACTGGTGAGAAATCTTACAAGTGTAATGAGTGTGGCAAGATCTTCAGTCAGA